GATAACGTAGCGCTCGCCGTTGAAACCATCCGCAGGTAAGTTGAGTATGTCGCTGTAAACTTTATCCATCAGGTGATAATCTTCAGCTCCAGGGAAATGAGTCGGGAACGGCTCGTGCGGTAGGTTCGCCGTAGGGCAGATGGTGCAGGGTGCCGGGCGATTCACTGGCTTCAGTTCGAGACCGCTCGGTAAGAGTAACGAATTTTTGTCAAGCACTGCAGCCTTGATCGTGTTGTTTAGCGTAGACTGCGACGGATGACCAAGTCGCTCATGCCATGTTTCTCCCGTGGCTTTGTGACCTTGTGCACGCAGGTAATACTTCGCGTTAGCGAAGAACGACAACAGAAGCTGATGACCATCGGAGCGGATCTGATCGAAAGCAGGTGCGACGTAACGAGTAAGATTTGGTGGTGGAATACGAACCTCAACATCCACGTACTCGCCTGGAGCAAGTACTAACTCGCCGCTTTCTTGATCGGATGCTGCAGATACATGTTCAACTCCAACGAGACGACCCGAGTCAAGAATCTCCATATCAGCGACGCGTTGCTCAGCTTCAGCGAGGAGACGATCATCGCGTTCAGCAGGCGTCTCGCCCCAAGTTGTTTCATCTGGTTCGTCAGCCCCCCAGATGCCGTCATTAGTCGGCATGTTCGTCGGATCACCCCAACCTTGAACAGCAGCCATGTACTCCCGGGAGGACTGAACATCATTCAAGCCTTGATCGTCGAAGGTCAACATGACGGCGGCAGCCGTGGTTGAAGACGTCGGGACAACTCCCTCACGTGGAACTGTATCGTCGGTGTAATCAATGTCGTCGCGATGCTCCCAAGGACCAAGCGAGAGAATGTTATCAGAGTCGGCAGTAGTGCGCTCAGGTATGAAGTTCAAAACGAAAACACCGTTTTGCTCAACTGCCGTGCCGAGTTTCTTGTCGCCGTACTTCAGAGTGAATTTCCCAGGTTCACCGAGAAGTGTAATCCCGTTCTTCATGAGTTGTGCAGATGACATGAGGTTGAAGCCAAGCCGAGGGACCAGAAGAACTTCGTTCAGGTGAAGACTAAAGTCTTCTTCAACTGAGTCCAGAACGATACTTCCCATCCAGTGAGCTGTAAGCCGTTGGTTATTAGCGACTGTGACGACAACGGGATTCTGCAGACGGCGTTGATTCACAATAAAACGTGTTTCTGACGAACACATGTGCTGACCGCAGCAACTGTCGAGGTACCAAGTATTAGGACCTGCAATAGTATGTGCAAGATTTGCATAGACCTCAGGTGGAATCGGTGTGTTGAGTTCGTCGTTGAACCGGTTGTGAATTCGCTCTTCAGCATCAGGATCATAAACCGTTGAAACTGATGTCATGCAAGTAATAACTTGCTTTGACTGTGTCTTCGCAGGGTCCGGCTTCGCAGAATTCAGCTTCGTAACGTCCGGCTTCTCAGCTTCCGGCTTCTCAGCTTCACTTGAAGAATCTTTGGTATGTTTTGATGCAGACCGCTTCCAAGATGGTTTGTCTTTCGACCAGCAGGTATCAATAGTGTGTCCTGTTTTTCGACAAAAGGAACAAACGGGCTTGTGACGTGGATTGGAATAAAAGCTGACTGTATTGTTTACCACCTTTTTCCCTCCTCGAGCGTTGTGCAGGTCCATATCCTGCTGCTCGGCGATGAGAGCGGCACAGAGTGCCCCCTCGGACAACTGTGCTTGCATCCGAAGTATAGAGCGACACTGTCGCCATTCTGGTCCAAGACCCGCGAGTAGCACCATGTGAAACATAGCGTCGGGGAAGTACCCTCCACACTTCTGAAGTTGATCACGCAAATTTCGAGCGCGGTTGATATACTGCGTCACCTTCTCGCCGTTTATCATCTGTATATTTGACAGCTGTGTCAAATTTTTACTCTGGTTGACAGTGTCCTTTGCCATGTGAACCCCTTGCAGGTACAACCAAGCTGCTTCAGCAGGAGCGGCACTGGTACGAAAAGAACGAATTCCGAGCTGTTCAGTCGGTGTCAGATTACGAACGAGAACTGTGTATGCAGTCAGCGACGCCGATCGAAAAGTGGCTTGTTGAAGAGGTGATCCGTGAGATGGAAAAGGTGCTGTGCCGTCATACAGCTGCCAGAACCCCGCGGTCTGAACAAGAAGCTCAAACTCAAAGCTCCAGGTATAAAAGTCTTGACCATTAAAAGGCGTTGTCGTTTTAATTTTTGTTGGATTTGCAGAAGCAGGAATATAATTTCCGGTACCGTCAGCTGATTGTAGCTGATAAAATGATGGCACCTGTGACCCTTGTTGTGTTTGTTGTCCTTGTCCAGCAGGACCAAAAGAGAAGGAGTTGTTCGACCCGTCACTTCCTTATGGCATCTGACCACGCTGATAACTGGAGCCATCAATGCTCATAGGAGTTGGAAACATCTGGTTAAGCGACAAAACGGCAGCATTAACACGTTGTTGAAGATTTGCTGGCTGGTAAGCACCTTGATATTGGTAAGGTCCAGTCGGTACGAAGTTGGACTGTTGTCCCGGTTGACTAGAAGAACCAGTGACTGCAGCTGCAGCTGTTGTAGCTGCTGATGCTGCTATTGCTGCGGCTGCTGTCGATGATGCCGCTGCTGTATTTGCGTGTACGGGCTGATTGCTCAATGGCATGCCGTACATCGGTTGTTGCTGATATTGTTGTTGTTGTTGCTGCAGATGTGAATTATCAGCAGCTGGAGACGCTGTTGGGCGTGATGGGCTCGTAACAGAAGAGCCATTGTTGGACCTTGGAGATCCAGACATAGCTGTAGAGTAGGCAGGTGGAAGCTGTTATAATCCTAAGTTGCTCTCATACCATGTTAGAATTTAAGTTGTTTGAATAGGATCGTAGTCTTAGGATAGTAGCTTCCTGTAGCAGTGGAAGTCTTATATGAGTGACTTGTAACAGGATTAATATCTCTGTAATCAAGTATATTAAGAAATGACAAACATACGGAATATATACTAGGATAAAGTACCTGTTCGCTTCATGTACCTATTAGCCTGAAACGGTACGTGACTATTCGCGATACCTACAGCTACTTGCTGACGTCATCCTAGGGCGCGTAGCGCTTTGCTGACGTCAGCCTATTGGTACTTTTACTGTACTAACTACACTACACGAATTCCTTGAAGTGCACAAGTCTCGATATTATCTCAACAGTAATCATATATATCCATCCTTGTATCTCTTTGCTTAATCAATCTCTTGCTTTCACACACTAGTGCAAGGTGGTTCAACAAGTTTACTATACGCTTCCGCAATTACAACATCTCTACCCAAAGTCTTAGCCTTGAAAAGATCCTAAGGGCTTTTTCTCAGCTGAACAAATCTCACCTTAACACATTGACACGTTAGTTTTGCTCTTTCATTTACACGTGTAACAGTTGTCATTCATTCTGCGCTCTCTAGAACCTAACGCATAACACAACCTGGTAGCACTGGTAAAAGGTTTGAGTAACATTATTGAGATACTATGATGGACACATTCTGAAGCACAATGCTTGACCATGCGTTGAAAACATTTGATAAGGACGTACCATTTTTCCATGGCATATTCCAATAAGAATTTGTAATGGCAGAATGCACGTATGAAAATGGAATGAACGCTCCTATAGACGACCTTTCCTGCGAAAGAATCTTCACTTGGTCGTACAACCCAAATGCTGTCCAGAGTAATGTTTCACGCTCAGTCTGCGAGCATGCAGAGCTGGAATTCCACCTTATGCCGCTCCATGCCTTGTTCCTCACAACAGTTGACAGATTCTTTTGGCTGTTAATAATCTCCTTCAAGCATCTGCTTGCATAAGTGTTGTTATTAGGCAGCAGGTTACCAATCATGGCCGCTACATAGTCAAAGGGCGTGTGGAAGAAGAAGAGTGGCGTGGAGGTGTTGTGAAGGGTGTACTGCGGGAAGAAGCACCGCCACTGCTGTGCCGGCCTCGCTGCTGTGTTGGGGGAGGGGGGAGAAGGGGGGGAGGCAGGGGGGTCTGGGCAGGTGAGGTAGCATGGGGGCAGATGAGGTAGCATGGGGGCAGATGACGTAGCATGGGGGTAGATGAGGTAGGATGGGGGCAGATGAGGTAGCATGGGGGCAGATGAGGTAGCATGGGGGCAGATGACGTAGCATGGGGGCAGATGAGGTAGCACGGGGGCAGATGAGGTAGCATGGGGGCAGATGAGGTAGCATGGGCGCATGGGGGCAGATGAGGTAGCATGGGGGCAGATGACGTAGCATGGGGGCAGATGACGTAGCATGGGGGCAGATGAGGTAGCATGGGGGCAGATGACGTAGCATGGGGGCAGATGACGTAGCATGGGGGCAGATGACGTAGCATGGGGGCAGATGAGGTAGCATGGGGGCAGATGACGTAGCATGGGGGCAGATGACGTAGCATGGGGGCAGATGACGTAGCATGGGGGCAGATGACGTAGCATGGGGGCAGATGACGTAGCATGGGGGCAGATGACGTAGCATGGGGGCAGATGAGGTAGCATGGGGGCAGATGAGGTAGCATGGGGGCAGATGACGTAGCATGGGGGCAGATGACGTAGCATGGGGGCAGATGACGTAGCATGGGGGCAGACGAGGTAGCATGGGGGCAGATGAGGTAGCATGGGGGCAGATGACGTAGCATGGGGGCAGATGAGGTAGCATGGGGGCAAGATGAGGTAGCATGGGGGCAGATGAGGTAGCATGGGGGGAGATGAGGTAGCATGGGGGCAGATGAGGTAGCATGGGGGCAGATGAGGTAGCATGGGGGCAGATGACGTAGCATGGGGGCAGATGACGTAGCATGGGGGCAGATGAGGTAGCATGGGGGCAGATGACGTAGCATGGGGGCAGATGACGTAGCATGGGGGCAGACGAGGTAGCATGGGGGCATATGAGGTAGCATGGGGGCAGATGACGTAGCATGGGGGCAGATGAGGTAGCATGGGGGCAGATGAGGTAGCATGGGGGCAGATGAGGTACCATGGGGGCAGGTGGGGTTGGAGGGTCGGTGCAGTGCGGTGAGGTTCTGAGCCAGCGACCGAAAGGTGTAGTTCATAGCGCGGTCACGCGTGTCTGTGGGGGGGTTGAGCGACAGGGTTGATGGGCGGAGGGGTTGCACGACAGAGGAAGGAAGAGGTGGAGGGGGAAGACACAAGAAGTGGCCCTGAGTGTTGCACGAGGTGATCAAGCTGTGCGTGCCTCATTCAAACACTCTGTGCACTGCTGGGAGGGAGCGCACTCACTGCACCTCACTGTGTCCAAACAGGTTACTAGCTGGTGAGGTTAGCCAACCGCTCCCATCAGATAACATGCGAAAATCACACCTTCAAACGCCCAAAAATATTCCTTCCTTCAGCAATAACGCTTCTACTTCACAGTTGGAGGCTTGCCTTCTCACGTGGAAACCACACGTTGAAGAGCACACGGAACAATGTTGAGAAGGTGTGTGGATACTGGCTGAAGGGCGGTGGGGCGTACCAAGGAAGAAGCCCGAGTCAACGAGGCAGCGCGTGGAGGCAGATGGGAAGGACGACGCCAGCCAGTCACAGAGGTTCACTGTCGCCTGCCCTCCAGCTGAGCTGCCTGAAAGCAGAATCTGTGAGGCCGAGCGCATCTCATGCTTCTGCACGAGGTCTGCATGGCAGGAGGGGCAGAGGCAAGGCGGCGAGGCGGGCGAGGGGGCGAAGATGTGAAGAGGCGAGGCGGCGAGGAGGTAAAGAGTGCAAGGGGACAGGCGGGGAGAGAGAGGGAGGGTGGGGGTGGAGTGCCAAGGGATGGAGAGCAGGCAGCACTGAGACGAGCGAGGCGAGACGAAACGATATAGTGAGAGGAGGGGAGAGGCCGGACGAGGTCAAGGAGGGGCGAAAGGGAGAGCGGGAAATGGGGCCCTAGTGGTGAGTGGCTGGTGCCATGGCACTGTGAGGTTGAAGACACCGCGTGCACGGCGGACAGCAAAGGGGGCACACGCAGAGCACAGTGGAGCGGGCGAGCGGGTGGCGCACCTTGAATCACCGCTTGAATGATGTTCCACCCGTCCAGGTAGATGGCTGACGTCGTGGACGCGGATGACTTCGTTGACCCGGTTGACTTGGTGGAATTGGATGGGCTCGTTGAGTTGGCAGCGGCGCTTGCGTTCGGAGGGGCAGGAGCGGCAGAGACGTTGAGCGCGCCCCTGGTGCCGGCGTACCCGCCCCCGTCGCAGTAGATGAGGCGCACCAGGTTCCACTGGTACATCGCGGGGTTCTGCTGCGCGCTGCCCGACAGAATGCCCTCGAACGGAGGCCTCAGCTGCGCCGCCTGCAGCCGCGCGGGAGAGGTGGGAGGCGGAAGGAGGGGGGGAGGCGGAAGGAGGGTGGGGGGGGAGGACAGAGGAGGGGGAGGTGGAAATTGTGAGGGGCACGCGTAATAAGCAGATCGGAAGACGGCATGTCGTGATGGGAGGATGAGCGTGGCGGAATGGGTTATGGGGATATTTGCACCAATTTGGGATAAAAAAGGGTCGACAGAGAAGGTCAAACTCATTTTCGCAAGAATCAGAAGAAAGCAAGGCTTGAATAAAGGACAAGGGTGTGGGGAACATTAGGGTGGAGGAGCGAAGAGAAGAATACAGGAAAAGTGTTCGAACGCCCCCCTGTTCGAACGCCCCCCCGTTCGAACGCCCCCGGATGATTGGAGCCCAGCAGAGACGCAGGCCCACCGTCTGACAGGCAGCTACGCATATGGACCCCGCGTGACTGGCGGAGTCGGGAAGCCTCACATAGTGCGCGGGGTTGGCGGGGAAGCTCTTGCTGGACCCCAGGCGCGTGCCGGCTCTGGCGGAGCAGTCGGCGGGGGTGACGCACCACGCGCCCCCGGGCAGGTATATGTGCCACCGCAGACGACCCGCTGCCGCGCCAGGCCGGAAGTAGTACCCGGGGGGACTGCGCGGGCCGAGGTAGAGGGGAAAGGTAAGGGAACGGGGTGCTTGAGGTTTCTGGGCGGGTCGAAGGCGCTGGAAGGCGGAAGTGGCGGCTGCGCCGACCAACTGCTCCGCGTGGCGGCAACTCCCGCGGGTGGCTGAGCCGCCAGGCAGCCCACGGCGCGTCGCCACAGTGTGCACGTGGGGACATGGCGAGGGGGGTGACGGCCGGGCAGAAGAGTGCGACGGGGAGTCAGCGCGGAGGGAAGACGTCGCAGAGCAGCTGGAAGGCGGGGGAAGGGGGGATTGGAAAACGCAGCGTACGGGTGTTCCGTTCCAACGTCCACGATTTGAGCAGAGCCACACTCGGCTCGCGACCAGCCACGATCGCGCCACGACAGGGTGGGCGCGCGTGCAAGGAGTGGAGGCCCACTCTTTCGGCGTCGAGGGGCTGTAGAGTGGATATGGGATGCCTGTAAATCCTATCGCGCCTGAGGGCGCGGAGGAGTGATCCGGCGAACGCAGGAAAATTGAGTGCACGGGAGCCCGCGAGATGCCAGTGTGCTTACGCAAGCAGCCGGGATAAACCTGTTCAGCGTGCGACTACCATGGTGGGAAGAGACTCAATTTCCATTTAGTCAGCCGCGAACTTGCTCTTTCCGCAACCTCCGACAACTCTCGCAACCTCCGACACCTCTCGCAACCTCCGTCGCGACTATTATAAACCTTTCGCTGCGGACAGCTGGCTGGCTAGTAAGTACCTTCCGTCGAGGCATTTAGCGCCGAACGTGTTGTTCGCAAGCAGGACGAGCGTGGCGTTGGGTGTCACTGCTGGTTGCGCCTTCCGCAACTGCCGCCGCGGAGTGCCAGCTGTCGAGCAAACGGGAGTGGCGAGGAGTGCAACTGTGAGGGGAAGGAGCAGCGAGAGCTGTCTAATACACATGACTTGGGGCGGGGCGGAAGAATCAGGGCCAACCACGCTACTGTGCTGCCTGTAAGTGAGTCTAGACCGAACGTGAGATGTTATCCTCTTCTCAAGGCGACCCAGTGACTGACAATGACACTGACGATTCTGCTCTCCATGTGGCTGGAGAGTGGAGTGACTTGAGAGGACATTGAGTGAGTGAGTGGTCGGTGAGGCAGCATCTGTTGTGTTGAAAATGCTGGGCGCAGAAACTCACTCAAAACTCAGAATGCACTAATCCGCGGCTTGGTTCAACTCATTAGCGGCGCGAGCGAAGAAACAAGCATGTTCAACGCACAGGGCACGCCATGTGGCAGAGAGAAGCGCACCCCGGCCGTGTTTGATTCGCCAGCAGTGTGGTCGTGGGGAGCGAACTCTGGCACGATAGGATGTTTAGGTTTGGCAATACTGATTCGAGGACTCCTATACAGAATATCCTCACACATACTAAACTGTAAATATTATGTGCTGGGTTTTACAGTTTGCCCCACAATTTAGACCCCACCATGTACCATTTATAAACCTTTGGCAATCTCCTTGCCAAATGTGTGAGAATTACTCAAATCTAAACTGCACTATACAATACGAAAAACACCACCGGCATTTGCAACAGATTATGATAATTTTGAAAGTGTAATGAAATGTAACACTTTCTAAAATTTTGTATTGTGAAAAAGGGTACGTGGCCAACTCAGCAAAGGTAGCGCCGAAGCGCTACTCACCCTCTTTTGCCTACAAAAGAGGGACGTGGGGACATTCGTCCCCACCCACGTTTTCATTTCCGAAATTGTAGTTCTAATTTTGTTCTCATCCACACTGGCGAAGACTCAGTCGCTTCCGCGCTTCACGGCCCCGTCAATGCTCCTTAACGACATCCTTAAGCGCAACCTCGCAACGATGGCTCCGGTCAACCCAGCACTTAACCGCGACAACTCGAATATTTCAAGCCCGGTAATGCGGCGGAAACCTTGACTCTGGCCACGACAACGGATCGTCGCGGAAAACGCCCCACCGAAGAAATTTCAAGCGAGGGACCTTCAGCAATTGACCTCCTGCTCGAAGGCAGCCTTCGGACCCCCCCTTAGGAACGCGCGACTGTTGTACAGTCGCGCGTGGCTGCTGCTGAAGAGCGCGTGCCTAGCAGGCACGCGCGTGCCACGCAGAAGACGACGACCGCCGCTGACGCGACGGCCGTCTTGACCGCCGCTGACGCAGGTCCATCCGGGCCCACGACCCAGAAACGTTAGCGCGCGGCACCCTCCGCTGGCATCACGCCGGTCAACCCCCCCCCCCCCCCCCTCTGTGACTACGCAGCAGATGCAGGCGCTGCTTTCATTATTGCAGCAGCATGCGCCATCGACTACAGCTACATCGACCGAAGATATTTCTGCTTCCGCTAAAATTGAAAAGCAGAAGGAACCTGTCGCGCCCCCCCGCTCCACCAAGGTCGCTCGCACCAACAACGCTGCTCCAGCTCCCCCCTCCCGGCTCCGGCACCAACCCAAGCCCGTATCCCCGACGACAGCGACGACTTGGAAAATGAAGACGGTGAGGCCCCCGACAACCTTGCTCGCCGTCGCATTCTCGCACCCGCACCCCCCCTCCCCCCCCTCAACCCTACACCCGCAGCTACTACCTTCATGCGCAAGGGAGTGCGTGACCATGCGGATGTATTCTATGCAATTCAAGCTCACCTGAGGCACGTCGAGTTCAAGCTCCAACACGGCGACGTCGAGGGCGCACTCTCCAATGTGGCGCAAGTCGAAATGTTGATCAACAAACGTTTCGAGGTGCTCTTGGTGGCGGATGAGGCCGGTTTTGAGGCGGCGGATCGGTTCCAGCTGTACCAAGCCAAGAGAGTGCTCACGTCCCGCTCTAACAAGCTCGCGCTAGCCGACGTGGCGGCCCTCAAGCGTACACGCACCGGCTTCGCCCGCGGAGGACGCCTTCCCCCTCGAGACGGTGAAACGGAAAGCAAAGGCATGCCGCCTGCGGGCTGCCACGAGCCCCGCTTCAAGAGAGTGTGTTTCCGTTGCGGCCAGCCCAGCCATATGGCAAACAATTGCCCTATGGGAGGGCGTGGAGCACAAGGTCCCGCACCCGTGGTGTGAGAGGACTCATGGGGCAGCGCCCCTTGCCATTATGCCGGGGGGCGTAGGTGGATGCACCGGTGGTGCGTAGGCTGGTTAGGAGCCTTGGAGAGTAGCATAGGCCATGAGGGCCAGGAAAAAATGGCACCTGTAGGGGCTGGTTATGGTGTAGGCCTAGGCCTGTATGCCTTTGTGTGGATTAATAAAATAATATTGTTATAAAAACAAAAACAAAAACAAAAACAAAAAATGGGAGAGAGAAAGAGAGACAACAAGAGGAGGGAGGACGGATGGCACGGCAAGTCAAAAGCCAGCCCCCTCTTGAGGAAGGGAGCTGTCAGAATGTTAATTCTCTAGTCTGCAGTGGGGTACTCTGTAGTGAGTACAGCCCTGTTAGGGTTTGTTATATGTACTCAACTGCCTGCTAGTGAAACCTCTCTTCTCTCTTTCCATTTCCTTCTTCCATTTTCTCCTTCGTGTACCCTAAATCCTAGCCATGGCTACCAAGTCTTAGCTAGGCTTCTGACATGCTATCAGAGCGAGATCGCTCCTGGCCTGTGGGCCCACCTGCTTCCGCTGCTGTCCTGTCTGTCGCGCGCCCCGTGGCGCGCGACGTTTTTTCTTCCCGCCATGCGCTCGGGGCGCATGGCGGTTTTCTGCCCGCCGTGCGCCCCGAGGCGCGCGGCGGTTTCCTGCCCGCCGTGCGCCCCGGGAGCGCGTGGCGGGTTCGTGCTCTGTCCCGCGCGCTCCTCCCCGTCGTCCGTCGAGGTGCCCCTGGCGACCCGCGGGCTCCCCCCGTCGTTCGTCGCGGCACCCTCGGGGGCTCGTGCGCGGCCCCCCCTCCCGTCGCCCGTCGTGGCGCCCACGGGGGCCCGCTCGCGGCCCCCCTCCCGTCGCCCGTCGTGGCGCCATCGGGGGCCCGCGCGGCCCCCCCTTCCGCCGCCCGTCGTGGCGCCCTCGGGGGCCCGCGCGCGGCCCTCTCCCGTCGCCCGTCGTGGCGCCCTCAGGGGCCCGCGCGGCCCCCACTCCCGTCGCCCGTCGAGGTGCCCTCGGGGGCCCGCGCGCTGCCCCTCCTGCAGCCCGCGAGCCGCCCCTGCAGCCCACGTGCCGCCCCTGCCGCCTCCTGTCATCGTGCAACTACAGGGTGGCGGGTATGGAGGTGGCGGGTGTGTGAGTCGTCCCCTGCTCCTCCTCCTCCTCCATCTCCCACTGCTGCAGCTGCCGCTGAGGGGGGTGGATGTGTGGGAGCTGAGGGAGTGGCGCTAGGAGGGCGACACAGGATTGGATCTAGGGGTGCACCAGGGGGTGTGTGAAAGGGGGGTGGGACAGTTGGGGGAGGTTGAAGGGGGGTGGCCGCCGTGAAGCCAACAACTCCAGTCGCCCGTGAGACCGTTGCGCCAGTCGCCCGTGAGCCCGTCGCTCCAGTTGCCCGTGAGCCCGTTGCTCCAGTCGCCCGTGGGTCCGTTGCTCCTGCCGCTCAGAGTTAGCCGCGGAGCCAGTTACTCCAGTTGCCCGTGTGCCAGTTGCTCCAGTTGCCAGTGTGCCAGTTGCTCCAGTTGCGCCGTGTGCCAGCAGCTTCAGCTGCCGCCCACTACCTCCTCTCCTCTCATAGTCCCTCCTCCTCCACACTTGCCCTCTGTGATAGCTTCTAGCTTTGCTTATATTTGTGAACTATAAACTGCTGCTTGTTGTGCTGATCATACCCCACTTTGACTATGGGGGTGTGTCAGAATGTTACACTTCTCTAGTCTGCAGCGGGGTACTCTATAGTGAGTACAGCCCTGTTAGGGTTTGCTATATGTACTCAACTGCCTGCTAGTGAAACCTCTCTTCTCTCTTTCCATTTCCTTCTTCCATTTTCTCCTTCGTGTACCCTAAATCCTAGCCATGGCTACCAAGTCTTAGCTAGGCTTCTGACAGGAGCCATGGAGGAAGAATTGGCCAAGGGTGAATTACGAAGCAAGGACCGAGAGAAGCAAAAAAAAAAAAAAAAAAAAAACACACATACACGGAATGAGGGAGAGGAGAGAGAGAGAGAGGAAGAGAGAGAAAGAGAGAGAAAGAGAGGGAGAGGGAGAGGAAGAATGGGAGAGGGAGAGAGAGAGGGGGAGAGAGAGAGGGAGGGAAAGATCAAGCAAGGGAGAGAGAGAGACGAAGAGCGAGGGAGATAGAGAGATAGAGAGAGAGAGAGAGAGAGAGAGAGAGAGAGAGAGAGAGAGAGAGAGAGAGAGAGAGAGTGAGAGTGAGAGAGAGAGATAGAGAGAGAGAGATAGAGGTAGAGAGAGCGGGTGAGAGAGTGAGAGAGAGAGAGTGTGAGAGAGAGAGAGATAGAGAGAGAAGCCACGAAGTCATCGTGATGAACAAGGTTGTGGGACCAAGTAACGCACATGCGCCGATCTCGTTGTAAGGCAACCTCCAAAAAAAAAAAAAAAAAAACACACACACACACAAAAAAAACCCATGCAAGGGCGTCATGGCTAACGAGTGGTCAAGGGAAGTGTTAAAAAAAAAAAAAAAAAAAAAAATCGGGGGTGCGGGGAGGCGCGAAGGCGGTGACAGGCGAGCGACATAGTTTGCCCCGCAAAACGTCTCGATAAATCTCGCGTCTAATCGACCTTGGTCGTTCCCCCCCCCCCCCCCCACAACCTCGGTTGCCCACCAGTTGCAGAAGTGGAAGGCGAGTGGCAGAGCACTCACTGGGACCCATACGAGCACGGAATAACGGACAACATGGTGTCCATCATTCGAATGCGACTGCGCAACAGCCTCCACTGGTGGCTATCATGGTGCGACAGCAGTCTTATCCTTTCCATCATTGCCAAAGGGTACTGGCTACCATGGAAGGGCGCGAAGCCTCTCCCCTTCAAATCTCCCAATCACGCAGGGGTT